AATGCAAAGATGTAGCTGTGTAGGTTTTCAGCGGTGCTCGAAATTTTCAGCTATGGCGAAAAGGCAGAGCACAGTGTTGGCGGCTGGAATATACGGAGAGAACTGACAGCAGCGTCATCTTTTCCGGGCGTTTTAGCTCGCGGTGGGAGCGCAGGGGCGAGGTCAGGATGGAGCGGACAGTACCGAGCCCATATAGGTCCAAGGTCATCTTATTCTACTTATCATATTTACGCTCTGACTGCAGTAAAGCGTGTAACCGTATGTCGAGACCAATTGATAAAAATAGAAACTAGCAGCACATTGCATCAAAATGACACATTGCGACTGCCACCGAAGAATAATTTTTAGTTTGTACCTGTGAATGGAATGCTCGTTCGACCGTTGCAATGCTACATCCATTACCCATCTTAAAAGTTGCTGAATGTTCTTCGGTTCATCGGTCCTTGCATGTCACTACGGTACTGCTATTATTGAAGACCACTGATGTCTCCTATAGTCTTATCTCTGTACTAAGGATCCTACACACCTGGGAACGGTCAGACCCCAGCACTGGTCACGAGTGGCACCCACGGGTCGGTCCGTGACAGTCATGGGACATTCACGGGCTCTGACAGCACGCCCCAATCGTCAACCGTGAACGAGCTGATAATGTGAAGCGGGGCCAATGCAGTGGAGCCGTCAGCATCCATAAAGTAACAAACTATATAACAGCCTTATAACGTCATTTTGCAATACAAGATTCACGTCTCGTGTTTGAAGCTACCATCATACCAGCTCAATCACGAAGTGATTTTTGCCGTGATCACGCATGACATGAAAGAGAACGCTTATCGCTGATTTGCGTTAAAACCACTTTGCTGTGATCACCCATCGTGGTAAAATATAGGCCACGGAGATACGCACGGGCAGAGCTGTAGGGCGGACACCGCGGGCGCCTGCTCAGATGGGTTCGCCGTATAGTATGGTTCGCCCCCTCTCCGATCAGGCATAGTCAGACGTCTATAAGAGCGCCGTCCGGGGGCGAGGTCACGGCGAGGTCACCGTGGAGGTCACGGGGTCTGACCCCGGCACGACACCCGGGCTCTGCACCCCTCCCTAGCCGCGGGGAGGGGCGGGGGAGGGGGAGGGGAGGGAGCGCGGCCCTGCCCCACTGATCGGGCAGACACCAGGCGCCCCCAGCTGGGTGTCGTGCGCGAACAGAGTGCTCAGCTGACTGGGCGCGGCTTACAGACGAAAGGGGAGGTCGTAAGATCACACGGTCACGCATCACTAATCTCTCACGCCACTGGTGCTCTCATCTGTGCACGCCGCACGGGTCACATTGACAAAACAGGCATGAGCGCGAACTCAGCCTGCTTGCTAGTTATTACCTCTCCTATCATGTCCTCGCAATACCATGTCCTCCTATTGTCTTCGCAGTCACCTTTGCAACGTTGCGCAATATCTGACCCAGCCTCACCCTGACTTTGCTCTGGGCTCGCGAGATGGACAATAATTCTGTGCCGTATTTGGGAGCATATATCGGGCACCGCCCGGTGACCCAGAAGATCAGCCGGTGTTGTATGTACCTATGCCTGGGTCACGGGCCCACGCCGGTCACATTCGATGGAATTTACAGTGTCCACTGAGACATATTGTCACAGGTGTGCGACCGGTGCTCACATGACCGAGGCGAACTGTTAAACACGGCCCAGTAGCTGTAGCTTGATGATAAATGTGTGACCTTATGAGGTCATTGCACCTGACATGTTTTCCGCTGCAATATGACGGTATTGTTAATTTGTGTTGCAAGTTACATATATGTAATCCAAATAATGCAGAAAATAGGAGACAATTTACTTATAGGTTAAAGTAACCTACTCAGCATGATCATAATCAGAAGCATCATCATCAGCAGCAGCAGCAGCAGCAGCAGCAGCAGCAGCAGCAGAAGTAACAACAACAGCAATAACCCGCGCCGGGCCGGTGCTCTGAGATTCCGCGCCGGGCCGGGGGGGGGGGTGTCTGAACACCCCCCCCCTTCTAACTCGGCTCCTGGGCCACATAGCGACACGCGGTAAGCGGCAATCGAAAGAACGTCCAAAATAAGGACGAAAACACTTCAGTCATTTTTTGGGTCAGGTCAAAGGTCAGGTCACCAGAGGTCACCAAAGGTAAAATGTTGACTATTTCAACATTTTGGAAACTGCCAACGGCTATCTCGGGAACCAATAGAGCTACAGCGCCGCGGAAAAGCGCATTATAGCCCTTTTACAGACCTTTCTGAGTAATGTTCTCAGATTTGACCTCAGGTCAACGGTTTAGCCTCCAGAGGGCAAAAACTCCAAAAATAGCCGTTTTTACGAAAAGTGGTTTTCGGCAATAACTTTTGACTCAAAAGAGCCATGGCATTACTTTAGCCAGCATCGTGTTCCTCTCGTCGAGACGCGTCGAATGAACTATGATTTGACCTTGAAAGGTCAACTTGAAAGTTTGACTTCAGGTCAAGGTCATGACCTGACCGGAAAAGGTCATGTTGCATATCAGTCGATCCGCAACGTCGAGCCGAACACATCTAAGGCGTTTTCAGCGCTCTAGCACGCCTCTATCAGAAGTTATTAGCGAAAAACTGTTAGATTCTGTTCGTGACCTGAGATTCGTGACACCCCCCCCCCCCGGCCCGGCATGGGCTAACATAGCAAAAATTGATGCACCGATGAACGGCATTGCAATCTCTTCTATTACCATAATTTGCTAATTTTAGAACTTGAGTTTTTCTTTATAATTCCAATCAGTCTGTGTAGGTGCATAACATAAATTTGCCAGGACATAACTCAAAAGATGCTTAACCAGCTGCAAATGACGTTATCTATGCTTTTAAACCTTGATGATGGATAGCGTTAACGTGACGGCTCATTAGTCGTATATCATTTGCATATCCCTTGCATTTGCTTCTGTAAACGGCGTGCACGTGCCCAGTGAAGCACAGGAACACAGCTGCTGATCTGATGAGGACACAATAAATCCTTTCACGCATGGGTGGGTGACCATGGCGTCAAACTGTGGTCACACCTTCCTCTGGGAAAAGGGAGACAGTGAGATAGCTACCCGGCAGACCGGTGTAATGTACCGATGTAAGACGCAATCTGTCACACTGCTACACACTTACACGTTCTAATAACACTCCGATGTAGAATATCAATGATGAATAGTTAGCTAAAACCAGCTGCATCTGACTGGGGGAGGGATCTCACTTAACCCTCGCCCGTATAGGGGGGGGGGGGGTCGAACGGACCCCCCATGGTTTTTCGCGAATAACTCGCGTAAAAAGCGGCCGATCGCAACGAAACTTTCAGTACCCTCGCGTTGATCAATTTTACACCTACCCTGAAAATTTCATGACCCTGACCCCAATGACCTTTGACCTGTGACCTACTTTTCGAGACCATGTTTGGCCGGAATCGCGATTCTGCGTATGTCGGCTCGCATTAGCCGCGCGTTTGCAGTCTTTTCGTGGTTTCAAGCAATGAAACATGTGATATGATGTTGCCCCCATGCATTAGGGTTGGTGTCAAGGTGTCACCTGAAGGTCAGGTCAGGTCATTGACCTTTGGTGACATCGGTCCACTTTTGCGAGTTTTACATGTTTCTAGGCCAGTTTTTGGAGCTGAATTCGAATTTAGCAACCATATGAACATTTACGAAGTAGTTTTGGTGCCTTCGTAACATGTTACGAAGCTGTCAGAGGCGGTTGACACCTACTAGGAATACCCGGCAGGACTCCTACTGGTTGACCTGACCTGACCTGACCCGACCTGGACTAAATGCATAAAGATATCATCTGTGATCAAAACTAACATGATATTCGTGATCAGCGCCCCGAAAAACTCCATAGCAGCCACACTTTACGACGTTCTAACAGGTCCCGATTTTCCCGACTTTTGGGTCATTGACCTGACCTGCAAGGTCAACCAATGACCTAGAACCTTAAAATTAGGTATCATCGGCTTCCTCTCGTCACGGGCAACACGCTCGTTTTTTTTTCCGCGAAGCTCTAGCTCGATCAGGGGCGAAACGGCAAGGGGGGGTCCAACGGACCCCCCCCCCTTATACGTTCGCAGCTGGAAAAACACCAATACGGGCGAGGGTTAATAACATGCATTTTGCCAACGTCTGTCATTTTTAGATTCCATTTTCGTATTTTGTTGTTGCCAATTTGATGTCCATTTTGTCAGACAACGTAAGACCTGGGGAACCATGTGTAACACCAATAAATTACTGTTCGGCGGTGCTTAGGCCTTTCTAGTCATTGTCTGTTTCATTGACGCCGTACATTGCAAACGGCTGTCGTGCAAATTTCATGTTTGTTTGCAAACATAAATTTAGCAGAATTTACTGAAAACACTAAATGATCATTTCATTTCTTGACTCCATATTTAACTTCAATTCAGTTGCAACTTTTGCATCAAAGTGGAAAAGGTACATTCTAAGGGTTATTTAGATTGTCACAAATAAATTCAAATAATTCATACAAAGAAAATACCGCTGAACTAAAAAAAGATATATTCGACCAATCAGAAAAAAAATTGTCACCACTAATCCCTGCACCCCAACTTGATATCTATATCGTTGTCACGTATAGGTAGGGGAATTTCCATCACGCTGCATTGTGATCGGAATGCTAACTGGACATGAGCACGTGAGAGGACTACTGCTACAACTCGAGACCGGTTGCACGAATTGAGCCGACTGTTCGAACCACTGCCGTGTAGTCAGCCAGCTCGTAATTGGTACATTTGTCTTTCAATGAACTTTCAATAAAAATCTGTCATCCTTATCCTTCATCCTTGGTTGGATACCAGACTTCCTCACAAAAGAATATCAACCGTAACGTGTTCCACATCTACCTGTTCAGCCCCGCCCTCCCTCGGCTCCAACCCAAGGTTACGGTCGCTGGCTGGTATAAAGGCAGGCCGGTCCGCCGTTCACAGTATCAGTCGTCAAAGACACAATCTGCAAGCATGAAGGTCAGTAGTCATTGGTCAACCAAAATTGATAGTCCAAGTGAGGTCTTCTAGACCAGTCTTTGAAGAGCTATACCTTCCCACTCAATTTGCCACGTATATTGCACAACCTGCTCACATAGCCTTTTGAGCGTTTTTAGCGTTTCCTGAAAGTCATTCATCATGTGCAAATTTGCTTAATTGTGGAGATATTAGAAACCACAGGTTGAACTAACTACATTGTTATCCTTTGCTTTGCAGTTCTTCGTCGTTGCTGCCCTGGTGGCCGTGGCTGCCGCCGCCCCCTCCACCCCCTACAGCCCACGGCCGGCCTACCACCCGGCCCCGGCCTACCACCAGCCGTCCTACAAGGAGCCCGCTCAGCCGTACCAGTTCGACTACGCCGTCAACGACCACTACTCGGGCGCCGTCTTCTCGCAGAACGAGAACAGCGACGCTAGCAACGTCAACGGCTACTACTCGGTCAACCTGCCCGACGGCCGTGTGCAGACGGTCAAGTACGTGGCTGACCAGCAGGGCTACGGAGGCTACAACGCCGAGGTGACCTACGAGGGCGAGGCCCGCTACGACGAGTACAAGCCCAGCTACAAGCCCAGCTACAAGCCCGCTTCGTACGCCGCTCCGTCTTATAAGCCCGCCTACCAGCCCGCTTACAAGCCCGCCTACCAGCCCTCCTACAAGCCCGCCTACCAGCCCGCCTACAAGCCTGCTTACAACTAAGTGATTCCTTTCTTATTGCTTCACAGTGTTATTTATGCCATATGATTCAACGAATGATTGATCGTATGCGTGATTTGCTGGTGAAAAGAGAAATATATTTTTGATTTTGAATCTCTTGCTTCATCTGAGAATCAGCGAGCACTTGGTCTATAAGTTTCACTCATGGGTCAGAGCCTTTTGATTTATCTTATACCATGCTGTTCCATGACAAGTTTAAGAGAACAGTCAAAAAAAAAAAAAAAAAACGTTCAATGCACTCCACCCCAAATCATTGATTTCGATCGCCACACATGCATCCGCCCCCTGATGTTTTGTCAAAACATGGGGAGAAGTAATGAAGAGGAACAATGCATAATCAGCTACCCTGAAAAATCCTTTTCTAGCCTGCATTGCGTTTGATATATCGCACCGATGATAGGGATTAAGGGTGACGTTGGTCTTTGCGGTCTCCCTGGTGCACCGCCGGGGCTGAGGCGGAGTACAATGGACACTGGACGGGCCATCCAGACCCGTTAACGGCCATCACACCGCACGAGAGTATGTACATACGCCAGGCCCCCAAGGAGCTACTCAATACTCATGTCGGATTATGGCAACCGCCCAGACCCGAACTAGGGGATTGAGGCATGGGGCGACCAACATGGAAAATTATTTGTGCACCCTTTGGGTGGAAGGGAGAGGATCAGAGCAAAACACGGCAAATGTGTCCGGAGAGGCATCTCCACCTCCACCTCCAGAGAGGTTCAGGCATCGCATCTAAACTAGAATTCGTGATCTGTTTGTTGCTTTTACTTTTTGAATGGAAGGAATGGTAACGGGACACAATTAAGATGAGTAGCGATACTACTGTAATTGGCACTTATGAGACTGGAGAATCCACTTCAAAGGGGACAACCACTGGTACCCAAACACTAACCGCTAGAAAAAAAGATATAATTGAACTTGTCATCGCAAACCGGCATGATTCGGAAAGACAAAATGTCGAACGCAGGATATCGAAAAGTACCTAAGTATATCGAGCGCATAATATTGAGAAGACCCAATATCAAGTGCAGAATATCGAGAAAAACGTTATTGAACAAAGTATATATATTGACAATACAAAATATTGAAAAGACAAGACATCGAAAACACAAATTTTAAACAAATGTTAAAAAATCATGAAGCAAGTATCAATTACTTCAGGCATTTTTAAACCTCGCCGGACCTATTGGTTTTCTACATATGCGCCGGACGAGGGGGGGGGGGGGGGCGGGTACGACCCCCCTCGCCGTTTCGCCCTGGTGGAGCTAGCGCGTCGCGGAAATAAGGAGCGTGTGCGCCGTTACGAGACGCAGAGATTGATACTCAATTTTAAGGTCCTAGCTGAACCGGTGACCTCTACGGTCAGGTGAAGTGCCCCAAGGTACAGTTGCGTTTTTGGTGGATAACTTCGCAGAAAACGGCCACAGAGCCGCGATTTTCTCAGCATCGTGTTCGCCTCGCTCAGGCACGTCGAATGATATGCTTTTTGTTTGGATGACGTCAAGCTAGGAGGTTGACCTCAGCTCACGGTCAGGTCAGCGCCCCCAGGTCACGAAGTTGGTCGAATGAGGTCATGTTGCATATCATTCGATTAGGCAGGTCTACCTGAGTCCAATGGTGGCTTTCCCGACTCGCTAGCTCAATTAGATCGGAAGTTATTGACGAAAAACCAATATGACTCTAATGACGTCATAAATGACGTCACGCAAGGTCAACATTGCAAAAGTGATGCATCGAACCTTGCAAGGAGTGCATCAAATCACGATTCTGTGTGCTTGAGACAGTTGGAGATCGTTTCCGGCGCCAGAAAAACAGTTTTCATTTTTCCACATTGACTTATGGTGAGGTCACGAAAATGACCTGACCTCATATGACCTTAAGGAAAAATCCGAGATATACAAGTTGTGAGGCTCGTAATGGATACTAGTTCCTACAAGTTTCATTTCCCTGTGAAAGCTCCTCTGGCAGTAAGGGCGTTGCAAAGTTGCGATATCTGAAGACCGTGCAGAGGTTCACTTATGACGTCATAGGTCAGTGACCTGACATAGCCCATTAATGTGGTTGGTATGAAAAGATCTGGCTTGAATCAAAGGTCAGGTATGCCAAGTTTCAGCTCTCTATCGCCAGCGTGTTCGGAACTATCGCGAAAAAACCTATGGGAGGGTGCGGCACCCGCCCCCCCCCCCCTTGGCTGGCGGCGAGGGTCAAGACAGGTTACAGGTCAGTTTGGGTCAGTTCAAAGTTAGCCCGCGCCCTGTAGGGAGAAATGGGCAAAGTAGCCCCCCCCCCATTCTTTTTCTGTCGATAGCTCCTAAAGTTTTGCATGTATTAGCCGTTTGCACGACAGCTATTTGATACACATTTGGTGCGCATTAGGTGCAGGTATGGTCAAATTAGGTGCAGATTTGGTCAAATTAGATTCAGTGTGTTTCTTAAAAGTTATCAATTTGGGTTGCACAGATGCTTATATATACCTCATTTGTCAAATTATCAGACATTATTCTCGATTAAAACACTGAAATAAGTTCGAGATATGAAGGGTCATGTTGTAAAAGAGATTTTGTGCATATTTGGTCAAATTAGGTGCATTGGCCAGATAGCTCGGCTCGAAAACGGCTTTGTCAACAAACTTGCTGGACTCCTCTGGGCATCGACTTTACAACTTGAGCTAAAATGTTTTTCAGAAGCTATGCTAAGTTAGCCATAAATGACGTTAAAAACGTCATTTTCTACCAATTTCAACCCAAAATAGTTTTTGCAGGAAGACCTGCCACGCCATACAGCTTTGAGGGTACACAATATTCTGTACAAATGGTGTGAAATTGATAAAGTTGCAAAACTGCTTTCTCGGATATTGGAAATTTAGAACTTAATTAACATTTATTATTTGAAAAAGTTTTTGCTTGAAATTAGCATTGTAACAATTTTTTCTGCAGTAACTTTTAGCCAAAGAATTTAGAATGACAAAAATTTAACCAATAGCGTGCTTCTTTCATCAAGACGCGTCGAATGAACTTGTTATATTTTCTTTTGATCTTGTGATAATTTTGCCTGGAAAGATCCTATATGAAAAAGTTAGCCTAAGGCCTACGTTCATAGCCTGACCGGAAAAGGTCACGTTGCATATAAGGCGATCTACGTCGTTGAGCTATACCCATTCAAGGTGCTTTTATCGTTCTAGCATGCCTGTCAACAATATCGCTAACAATTGCTGGAAGGCTTTTATGAAGAGCCAGGTGACCTCTTGACTTAGCATTGAAAACCTGATGGCTGGTCCTAACAAAAAAAAAGGTGCAGAGAAGATGAAGGATAAGGTGTAAAGAAAGTGGTGGCGAGTAGCGCCGCCGTATATTGATAGTTTGCGTTCGATATTTTGCCCGTTCGATATTCTGCTTTTTATTTTTCGCCACGACTACAATATGCCTCCATGTTATGTGATCCGATATTTTGCGCTTCGATATTTTGTCTACTTCGATTATTACTTCGATTACTACTTCGATTCGATAATACATATGCCTCAATGTTTGGTGATTCAATGTTTCGCGTTTCGATATTTTGTCAGGACCCTTCCGTGCCCAGTTTCACCAGGTGCGGTTAACTCAATTTGGGGTAAAATACCAAACTAACCCCACTACATAACTACAAATATACTACCCCAAAATTAAGATTACATAACTTGGTGAGATTGGTCGAAGTGCCCAACCTCATCAAGTTGGGTTAACACAATTTTGGGGTAGTATATTCATTATTTGTAGTTATGTAGTGGGGTTAGTTTGGTATTCTACCCCAAATAAATTGTATTCCATTGTTCACTCCTTCAAAAAATATTCAATATTAAAACTAACTAAAATGCCAACGAGCTCCAATAAATCAACGAAATTTCATTCTAACCGTACTAATACGCTGTTTCGTAGCGGATGGTCTGAAATATAACATAACTTAGCTAACCCGTAAAAATAAAGTTCAATTGTCAAGCAGATTGTGTATTATAACACAACAGGACCATACACACCAAAGCACATACATATTTGTATAAATATCACTTTCAGATCATAACTGCATGTCTTTAGTTGTAGGCGGGCTTGTAGGCCGGCTTGTAGGCGGGCTGGTAGGCGGGCTTGTAGGCGGGCTTGTAGGCAGGCTGGTGGGACGGAGTGGCGTACGAAGCGGGCTTGTAGCTGGGCTTGTAGCTGGGCTTGTACTCGTCGTAGCGGGGCTCGCCCTCGTAGGTCACCTCGGCGTTGTAGCCTCCGTAGCCCTGCTGGTCAGCCACGTACTTGACCGTCTGCACACGGCCGTCGGGCAGGTTGACCGAGTAGTAGCCGTTGACGTTCTTGGCGTCGCTGTTCTCGTTCTGCGAGAAGACGGCGCCCGAGTAGTGGTCGTTGACGGCGTAGTCGAACTGGTACGGCTGAGCGGGCTCCTTGTAGGACGGCTGGTGGTAGGCGGGGGCCGGTGCGTAGGCCGGGGCCGGGTGGTAGGCCGGCCGGGGGCTGTAGGGGGTGGAGGGGGCGGCGGCAGCCACGGCCACCAGGGCAGCAACGACGAAGAACTGCAATGGTAAAAACAGAAGTTATACATCGGTGGTTTTAGGAAGTTCTTTACAACATCATCTTCTAAGATCAATTCACTTCAACAGTTGAAATAGCTGACTTAAACTCAGAAATGAGTCGGATGATCATGAGCATGAGCTGAGCATAGCATGAAGGATTCAACCGTATGTTAGGCCCAACCACTAGAGAAATGACACTTAGCAGGAGCCAGGAGCAACACTGAGCGGAGGGAACTGACCTTCATGTTTGCAGATTGGGTCTTTGACGACTGATACTGTGAACGGCGGACCGGCCTGCCTTTATACCAGCCAGCGACCGTAACCTTGGGAATTGGAGGGAGGGCGGGGCCGAACAGTTACATTGGGACGACGTATATGATGATGTGAAAAGGAAATGCCTTGTAGCATATTTCTTTCGACCTTTAAGTACATATTTTACCGTTTAATCTCTCTGTCGATCAATTATTTTATTTGACTTTGAAATATGTCTCGAGTTAATTATTTTTTCTTCTGCCGAGAATGACATAAAGTTGAC